ATGCTAGGTATGTGTGACCTAATTAATGAGTCTATAAATACTCTAAACCTTAGACGTCTCATAACATCATCATAAACACAAAATCGACAATTTGAAAATTCCATCTTACACACCTTCATTCTCTTAAAATTCCCGCAACCTTTGCATTTCTCCGAGATGCTCGAGGATCCAGAAGAGTTTTTGTTTTTTTCAATTTACTCAACTGTGCTACTAACAGTTTTTTTTTTGCAAATTTGAATTATTTGACTATCTATTCCATTACACTTTCATATAACCAGAATATTATGTTCTTTTTTGAAGCAAACATGAGAAGGTATGTTTACTAAATTATTCATATAACAAATACTAAGTTATTTTTAAGCAAACATATTCGCCAAGCAAATGAAAGAAAAACAGAGTAGAGTTTATATCTAACTTACAGTCAATAACCGTTTTTTGTTTTCTACTTTACTCAAACTGTACTATTCTCAGGTTTTTGCAGTTATACTTTTTCAATTTATCTAATAAATTTTACTTTCATTTAAGCATGAATTATTTTATCTACACACCATTAGTATAAACTGATGGAGTAAAAGTTTATTTAGTAACTTACCTGCTGCATGTAATATAATTTGTTGAGACAAAGTGGTAGCTCCATTATGACCTTACTTGACTTTAGTTTTACCTGCAAAACTAATGTTTTAGATTCAAATAAAACAGTAGGTTTAAACATTGATATGTATAAATAACCAGACGTTTACTCTTTACATGCTTTATTTGTTTGATTATGTTAGTTATTTATGGAATTAGCTAGCTGATATAAACTAAACACATAGTGACGATTTTGAGTTATTTTACACTTTGACAAGTATAATTTGATATGAAACCATATTTGTTTCTTTTGTTACTACTAACCTTCGGTTCATATCAATTTGATGACGTCTTACTGCAACTTCTAGAGTTGTTTCATATAATTTAATCTCACCTGCAAAGGAATACATTCTTCATTTACTCCCACGATGTAACCTAATTGATGCAATACATATCTATTTCCATTTCTCACTGTTTTCACTATCAATTTTCGGACTATAATGTATTTTATTCGATTATTACAGTAGCAGGAACTATGAAAATCTCTTACCTTTGAATCGAGACAAAAATTTTCAATGGGATCTGATTTGTTGTTCTCGGGTTTCCATGGGTTGATTGGATCTTCGGTTTAGCATAGATTTTCTTCGATTGAAGATTTGCTTATCATTTTGGCATCGACTCTTCGAATCAAAACCACATCCCGTCGTTGGATTATACATCGGAGCTCTTCGAAGTTAGGTTCCGATCTTGACTTATCGAACATGGTCTTTTTCATTACGGATCCGTAATCGACAAAGAAATTTGAAGATTGTTGATGAGAATCGTAAGAGATCCTTTTTTACATCAATCGTAAGAGAAGAAGAAGATGAAATGGGATTTTTGTTTTGAGAAGGAAAGTTAATTGTTTTCTTTTTCTCAGGTCTTTTTTTTTTTTACTCACAAGTGTAACATATTATATTGAACATTCCAAAGATGAGGTCCAACTGAGAGCCCACCAAAAAGGATAATACATCCGAAAATAAACATTAATAAAAACATAAACTTTTACGATTTCAACGATTTATTATGTAGAGTAATTTGTGTAAATTTTCTTTTGTCTTTTCCTTTCTTTTTTTTTAGTAATTGACACATATGTAATGAAACAAATTGTAAAAATCTATAAAATAAATCATATAACCAAAACTTCATTACAAAAACTAATATATTTACAATTCTAGATATTTTTGTCCAAATAAAACTAAACATACAGTTTTATATATTGCTTAATTCAATATTCAAATAGTAATGAAATATCTATTTTCAATTACAAAAAATTATAAACTTCAATTTCTGTATTATTATAAATCTATAAATAAAACACAATTCAAATTTACAAACGCCATCACGTTAATTATTTCAAATATACTTTTTCATAACTATATATTTAAAAATAAATCTTAGAACATCCTTATCGTAAACGATATAGTATCCTTAAAAAACATACATTATTTTCATATCTATATAGATATAATAATTCAATTTTTTTACTTTACGATTTTTATAAAATAACTTAACCCGCGGTGTACCGCGGGTCAATTTCTAGTTAGAAAGTATATTAAGTGTAAATTAGTCACCAAAATATTTAAATATGAGAAAACTATATTAAAAGATAATTATTTTCTTAGAAAATAACACATTTGAATGTTAAAATTTTGATTTAAATATAAGAAAGTTTTTGTTTTGAAAAAAAAAAGAAAAAGATAATTTAGAGTTTTAGACTCTTAGGAAAATGAAAAAGTAAAATCAGATTTTTTTTAACAATAATAATAACCATTCATAACACTTGTACCATTAGTTTTTTTTTGGTGCTATCACAAGATAGTAGTATTACAAGTGCAATGCTCTATATTTTGTAATACCCATGAACTGTACATGTTTTTATTGGTTTGAAATTAAGTATTACAATTTGCACTACTAAACAAAGTATAACCAATCAAAGCCATAAACTTCTATTAAAAATATAACTTTTTTTACTCCAGAACTTCTTCCGAATCACGCTCTTACTTCGACCGAGTCGTCATTCAAAACCAAGTGCGTTCGCGATCGGCATGCAACGTCCATGAATTTTACTTTACTAGTGGTTTAGGCGGCATCCGATTATGTTTTAATTCCATACGCAAAAACGTGTGCAGACCATTTTTATATGTATATTTTTGACATTTTTGGATCGATAAAACTATACCCATAACCTCAACTAGTATATATACATATTTTATTTATTATATACTAGATTTTCTGATTTCTTTAATTTTTTGTTTTACTCAATTTGGTACCATGTATATGACAAGTAAATTCCTCATCTTGATACAGTTTTTGTGCTTAAGAGGTTTGGTAAAAACATTGGCTACTTGATGATGTGTCCTTACGTACTCCAATTGCACATCTTTCTTGGTAAGAACATGCTCTTATGTAGTGATATCGTGTATTAATATGCTTACTTCATTCATAAAGACTGATTTTCCTAGGCAAAACTATTTTGACATGCCAATGAAATTATTAGTCTAACTAGGATTCAACCCGCGGTAAATCGCGGGTGTAGGTATTTACTTGGATTTTCATATTATATCTTTTAAAATGTATAAGTAAATTTTTAAACAAAATGAACATAAGATTTTTTGTGGTTGATTAATTATTAGTTAGTGTAAGGCATTATCATGTGGTCAACTAATATAACACATTTTTTTAGTGGTTGTATTGGCAAAGTAAATGTGTCAATTTATATTGATGTAGTAAGATGATTTGTAGGTGTAGCGGTTTAGGTTCGGGCAGTAATACTCGTTATCCGTATTCGACCAATTGCAAAAAAAGGGGAACTAGTGACCTTAAGATCGAGTAATTAATAATTTTATTTAATTCAATTTCTATCGAATTAAAGCTAATTGTAACCCGCTCCACAATTTGATCCGCGAGAGCTCTTAATTTTTTTTATCAACACATTTTTTTGATGATATCATCACTAATATCAAAGAGTATCTAAATTTGTTTTAAGACAAGCAACATAAGGGAATACCTCATCTTACTTGATTATGGTTCTTTGACTATATATATATATGTTTACATCTTCATCTGCTTTAAAGTTTTTGTTTTAAAATTTGTTTTGTACACCCACTTCACACGATCGTGTCCGTTTGGTAGTGAAACTAACTCCCATGTATTATTCTTTTTTGTCGTGTTGATCACATTTTTTTATTGCATTTCTTCTTATCTTTTTTCCCATTGCTTATTGGAAGATTAGGGGCTCACAATCTCCAAATAGACAAAATAGAGTAATTTTAATTGTCTTAACTTTCGGTTACTTAACAAAGTTCTTGTAACCTTCTAAGATGTGGAGACCTTTGACTCGATTTTGTTCTCCCTAAGAACTCGTTGGTGATGTAGTATGCTACTCTCTCTTAATTGCTCCGAGTCATTTTCTTCAATTTGTGGAAAGAAATTATAAACCTAGATTTGAATTAAATGAAAATAATACGGGAACTAGAGTCCAATGATACTTCAAAGGAGATGTGTTAACAAAGAACTCTCTACTAGACTAAGTGATTAGGTCAAAAATTTTATCCACATTTCTCCTTCTAAAGCTAGCTTGTTCTTTATATATTCATCATTACATCTTAATGGTTCATTCTTTTGCGGGCTCACATGCTCTCATCGATTCCTTGTAAATCAGACTCGTTGTGTAACCCTTGATCTCTGCTCGAGTCCATCAGTTCGATCTCCTCAAGGTTGATTCGATCCTCTCCGCCGACTAGAATGGGTTTCCTCACTTGGGTATTGATCACATAACGTTTGAAACCATGCGTTTAAAATCGACATATTAAAATGTCACAAGAAGAGTATTAAGAATAAACACAAACTCAATTGGGAAACGACACAGTTTGCTTTTCTAAAGACTATAAACGACGACGTTATAGCTAGAGATTAATAAGAACTTCGTTAATTTTACAACGTCCCCATTTCTGTAGCATTGAACTTGAAACTTTATCAGGCTTTTCGTAAAATGCTTTAACAAACGTCAAACACAAGTTTTCATTATGGAGAGCGTTCTAAAGTTGCATAGAATTGAATTTTTTGTTTGCTTAAAATGTTTAAATTTATGGATACAGTTACAAACACTGCATAAACTGTAACCAAACAGTCGAGGCCTACTAACTTCTACACAGTCAACAATTGTGAAATCAAGGGTTGGTTTCTTATAAAATTTTGTCAGACCAAAAACAAAAACTCAAGATACAAATACATACCCAAATAACAACGGTTTTCACAAGAACTGTGACAATCTTCCAAAGAAGAGAACACAAAACAAAACAATTCTATGGCCTAAAAGATGTTGTTAACTCATTGACCTCAACTTCTCTGAGATTGAAGAGAGCAAAAAAGAAGAAAGCTCCTATCTATGCTCGAACACTAATCCGCGAGGTTCCAGATAATCCCCGAAACTAATCAAAGTGACCACTTGGCACCTAAAAAACACCAGCCTACAAAAGAAACAACTGATGAGATACATAAATCGAGCAACTAAAGTCATATCTAAACAACATTGTCCATATGTTTGTGTGCTCATTTGACATAACTATCTAACCAAATTTAGTGTACCTTTAGATGAAGATGCTCATTCTGTTTCCAAACTGTGATTCTGCAGAGTATTTCCTGATGTGTTTCTAGTCTTCTTATACCAAAAGAACATGGACCAAAGTGCTCTAAACAATACTCCATTTGCAAAATGTGGAACAAATAAACGTCCCCAATATGGATAGTACGGTCCAGGAAGCTTAATCAGAGTGAAGAACATCATCATAGCTATCAAATGCCACGGTACTTCCGCTTCCTGCAAGAATAAAGTCTTCTTCAAAACGAATTTTAAAACTATCACAACAATCTATAAGATAAAGATTTCTCTTTTCTACTACCTTAAGACGAGGAGAGATCTTCAAAGCGGTTTCTTGTAGAATGCCAGCAACAACCATACCGATGACTAACGGAAACGGGACTAAAGCAAGTTTCCTCTCATGAGCACAATAAGACATCTCACTAATGGAAGAAACCGCCAATATAGGAACGAACAAGAACTTAACGACTGATATAGCGAGATCAAGAACAAGTTGTATAAAGTTTAAAAAAGCTCTATTCCAAGGGAATTCCTTAACCGGCTGAGGAGAATTATCCCAAACATGTTTAGTTTTCCTCAACAGATTATCGAAATGAAGCCTCTTTGGTTGTTCCCCTGAATGTCCAGATTCCATATGAATTGCACGACACAGAAATGATCTCTTTGATACTTTAGCTTCATTTGCACACTTAAAGGTACAATCTTTATTGTAGCTCAACGTGAACTGCAAAACAAAACAGTGATTTGCTATATGCCTAACGAAAGATTCGTAATTTAAATGGTTGATGGATCCAATAAGAGTTTGTGAACCTCTAACTCTCTAAGTTACGATTCTGTATGATTGAAATTGATCCAATTTACTGATAAGTATATGCCTAAAGGTGAAATTTTTCGACATTAATCCAAAGACTCATAGAAGGAATAATGAAAAGTTACAACCTTTTTTGTGGGTGGTGGAGCTATTTTGAAGATTTGGTAGAAGAGAAGAGAGAGATATCGTTACCTGGGTCGAGTGAAGTCGCAGAGCCAGTGAAGGTCGAGGCGAAGAAAGGAAGAGATGAGACATCGCCATTATTTTTGAAGCTCTGTTTGCTTTGAGTTTTCAGAGAAAGTCCATTGAAGAAGAGGTTCTTTGAATAAGAGAGGATAAGAGATTGGTACAGAACACAAAGGGTTCGAGCCTAATGGGAGAGAAAGAGAATCGTCGATAGAAAAAAAAAAAGAGGAAAGGAAGGTGGAATCACCTGCGCTAATGACCATCGTAAGATCACGTGAGCTCCTCTAGAATTGTATATGCGAGTCGAAAACGAAAAAGATTAAAAACAAAATTGACATGGATTTACCGATTTAGTTTAAATTTGTATTTAACTTTTTTTTTTTGACTTTTTCGACCATCCCCTATATATTAATAGAGAAACATTTTTTAAAAAAAACATTATCATCATGTGTTATTAACAAGATTGCCACGCTGATGTGTCGCTCTCACAATGATTTGGCTTCTATTTAGATAATTACCCAAGATTTATTAGACTATTTACAGAATTTGCCATTAGTCTCATACATCTATATATCCCCCATTAATAATTAAAAACATACACTTTTTGTTTATCTTATATTACTATATTTTATACCCTATATATTAATAGAGAAACATTTTAAAAAAAAAACTTACCATCATGTGTTATTAACAAGATTGCCACGCTGATGTGTCGCTCTCACAATGATTTGGCTTCTATTTAGATAATTACCCAAGATTTATTAGACTATTTACAGAATTTGCCATTAGTCTCATACATCTATATATCCCATTAATAATTAAAAACATACACTTTTTGTTTATCTTATATTACTATATTTTTATATTTATATTTTTTATATACATTTATATAAATTTTTTTTAGGGGATGGGTAAACAATCTTTTTATTTATATTTATATTTATGTTTATATTTACATGATAAAATATATACATTTGGTTCAAGAATCTCAAATTCAAAACTACAAAATCTTTACATCTTTCATAATTTTTTTACTTAAATAAATAAGATAATCTCATTTCTATATATGTTACGAATACTTAAAATGCTATTTTTTGGAGGAATTCAAACTTTTCGAAGAAAAACATTATAACCACATTTGTATATAAACCAAAATATGGCCACATTATAACCATTTCGTAAATAATCCATTCATAATCTAAGAATCGTAGATTTGGAACACTACAAAATCTTAGCTTGAAAACTATCAAATCTCATCTTTGCTAAATTTTAGATTTCTTATACTTATTAAAAAAAAAAATTCTTTTTATACTACAAAATCTCGAAATCTTTAAAACATACGGAAAGACATATTGCCATAAATGGTAACATTTCATCAATACTTTTTTATCACGTTGAAGCTTTATTCAAGGTTCAAATATTTCACGGGTAAAACATATTCTTATATGAAATAGTCCCAAATTTGAATAAAACAAAAAAAAATTTGTAACATGTTTCGTTTTACACAAACGGGTCTTGGATCCCGGATAATAATTTTAATCATAATAATTTAACAAGAATCGCTTCATCCCGCACGATGTGCGGGTTGTTATCTAGTCTTTCCATTAAAACGTGAGCTTGGGTCAAAGCCCAAATCCCCAACCATTTGCAATTTAATTTAAAGATAAAAATCAAATCAAAAATGTCACGTATCCAAGGAAAATTTTTTTGACACGATCAGACAACAGTTTCACTGTCGAACTTCCGCAAACCATTACCACTAACTCCTTCTATCTCCACCGTCGATTTGACTAGTTTCACTGCTACTGTTTTTAAAGTTTCTTTCTTCAGATCTTCTTCATCTCAACTCAAACTCAAAAAAGGAAGCTCCACCGAAGACCTAAAATAAAGTCCATTTTGCAAAACGACGAAGATATTACTCCAACTTTTCAGAAGAGTCAAGCCGATAGTTGAGAAAGAGAGAAAACAATCGACAGCATGCGGGATTCAGACTGAAAATCATATCGAAAGAACAAGACTAAGCTGGAAATTATTAAAATCTAATTTAAGCGGAAAGAAAGATCCGACCAGAATCGGAAGCTATAAACAGAACAAAAAATCGGCTTACGCCGAAGGATGAATTCTGATTAACCAGAAATCTCCTTCTCTAAATTTGCATTAACTAAAATGTCTAAAAGCATACCTATATTTGTGATGTGGTAGTAACTAACATTAACTAAAATATACCTCTAATCGTCATCTATTATTTCGTTTCAGTTGACTTGAATTTTTTTAAAGCAAAACAAAACACAATAACCGTTTTTGCGTTTTTGTTTAATATCATTTTTATTATTAATAAAATGCTTGTAAATTTACATTAGAAATCAAAACCATAATTTAAACAACATGGAATAGGAGAAAGAAAAGAAAAGTCTAAAATCATCCACTATATTAGATCATGCAGGTTACTTATCATGGAATTGTGTCATCTTGGTCAATTTAGAACAGTTTGATTCAAAGTTGCGGTTATCTATCCGGCTATCCCTCAAGAGGATATATTTAACATAACCCAAAAAAATCAAAATTGGGATTACATTATTAAAAATAAAAATAAAAACAGAAATCTTATATGTATTTTTTAGAGATAATTGGGGCAAAGACCATGGATCTGGGAAAAATTGGTTTTTAATAATTTATCACATGGTCCATAACGATGAAAATATTAGCCCCCAATCCTTTCCACTTTAACCTCACGAGTTAACTTATTTTAAAATAATCCAACTCATTACATGAGACAAACACTTAATTTTGTTGTTGTTTTCCAGACACATATAACGTATGAATTTTACTCTAAAAAGTAAATATATTATTATTTTCGTTATTATTTCTTGATTCTTGGGTATCTATTTACCTCGCTTGGTCATCGTTTTCCTAAGTCACATCATCTCTCTCTAACATCATTGTTCAATTCCGCTTCATTCCGATGTAACTAGTTCGTTGTGTATATTATTCACTTCGCAGCGCTGGAGAATTCGCAATCACTCTTTCGTATATACTATTTAACTCACCGTGCCGAGAATTTTGATAATTTATTTATCTAAATTCTTTGATATCTCTCTATGGATTCAGTTAAATCTGTATTTTTGCGTTATAGATCTTTGCATGGATGTCCAAGAAAATTTGTAGATCTATATTTAAATATTTACAAATAAAAAATATTAATAATTCTCTATCTACGTTGTTACATGTATATAAATATTAATAACACTCTACATACATTTTTACATGTATATAAATATAATAACACTCTATATACGTTTTTTCTTTTTTTTTGGTAGTTCTACGTTTTTGCAAAAAATCAAATGACTTATTTTTTAGGTCACTTTAACTGGTGAGCATTTAATAGCTGTCAGTTTGGTTTTTCGTTTCCTTTAAAGACAAAAGTGTTTTTTTCACGCGCATGGCCAAAAGAAAAGGTGGTTTGTCGTAACTGCAAACTCATTTGTCAACCGAATTCTGATTAACCAGAAATCTCCTTCTCTAAATTTGCATTAACTAAAATGTCTAAAAGCATACCTATATTTGTGATGTGGTAGTAACTTTCATTAACTAAAATATACCTCTAATCGTCATCTATTATTTCGTTTCAGTTGACTTGAATTTTTTTAAAGCAAAACAAAACACAATAACCGTTTTTGCGTTTTTGTTTAATATCATTTTTATTATTAATAAAATGCTTGTAAATTTACATTAGAAATCAAAACCATAATTTAAACAACATGGAATAGGAGAAAGAAAAGAAAAGTCTAAAATCATCCACTATATTAGATCATGCAGGTTACTTATCATGGAATTGTGTCATCTTGGTCAATTTAGAACAGTTTGATTCAAAGTTGCGGTTATCTATCCGGCTATCCCTCAAGAGGATATATTTAACATAACCCAAAAAAATCAAAATTGGGATTACATTATTAAAAATAAAAATAAAAACAGAAATCTTATATGTATTTTTTAGAGATAATTGGGGCAAAGACCATGGATCTGGGAAAAATTGGTTTTTAATAATTTATCACATGGTCCATAACGATGAAAATATTAGCCCCCAATCCTTTCGACTTTAACCTCACGAGTTAACTTATTTTAAAATAATCCAACTCATTACATGAGACAAACACTTAATTTTGTTGTTGTTTTCCAGACACATATAACGTATGAATTTTACTCTAAAAAGTAAATATATTATTATTTTCGTTATTATTTCTTGATTCTTGGGTATCTATTTACCTCGCTTGGTCATCGTTTTCCTAAGTCACATCATCTCTCTCTAACATCATTGTTCAATTCCGCTTCATTCCGATGTAACTAGTTCGTTGTGTATATTATTCACTTCGCAGCGCTGGAGAATTCGCAATCACTCTTTCGTATATACTATTTAACTCACCGTGCCGAGAATTTTGATAATTTATTTATCTAAATTCTTTGATATCTCTCTATGGATTCAGTTAAATCTGTATTTTTGCGTTATAGATCTTTGCATGGATGTCCAAGAAAATTTGTAGATCTATATTTAAATATTTACAAATAAAAAATATTAATAATTCTCTATCTACGTTGTTACATGTATATAAATATTAATAACACTCTACATACATTTTTACATGTATATAAATATAATAACACTCTATATACGTTTTTTCTTTTTTTTTGGTAGTTCTACGTTTTTGCAAAAAATCAAATGACTTATTTTTTAGGTCACTTTAACTGGTGAGCATTTAATAGCTGTCAGTTTGGTTTTTCGTTTCCTTTAAAGACAAAAGTGTTTTTTTCACGCGCATGGCCAAAAGAAAAGGTGGTTTGTCGTAACTGCAAACTCATTTGTCAACCGAATTCTGATTAACCAGAAATCTCCTTCTCTAAATTTGCATTAACTAAAATGTCTAAAAGCATACCTATATTTGTGATGTGGTAGTAACTTTCATTAACTAAAATATACCTCTAATCGTCATCTATTATTTCGTTTCAGTTGACTTGAATTTTTTTAAAGCAAAACAAAACACAATAACCGTTTTTGCGTTTTTGTTTAATATCATTTTTATTATTAATAAAATGCTTGTAAATTTACATTAGAAATCAAAACCATAATTTAAACAACATGGAATAGGAGAAAGAAAAGAAAAGTCTAAAATCATCCACTATATTAGATCATGCAGGTTACTTATCATGGAATTGTGTCATCTTGGTCAATTTAGAACAGTTTGATTCAAAGTTGCGGTTATCTATCCGGCTA